ATCCATCCATCCATCCATCCATCCATCCATTAAAGTTATTAAAAGTCCCAGTTGAATTGACGACCAGCACCCCTCGCGACCCCACTCGGGACAAGCGTGTAATGGATGGATGGATGGAGTTGAATTGACACTGGAAAAAAAAAAATAGCAGGCACTGAGATCTCCATCTAAACCCTGGCCTCCATTATTAATTTGTTGTTTATTTCTTCAGTAAATCTCTTGACCATCTTTTCTGCTGTGTTTCAGGCTCACAGACTTATAATCTTGAAAAACAGGGTGGAACTGGCCCAGTTTCAAAACTCTGCCCCCCAGTATCTGACTCTTTCTGCAGACTTCTGGAAGGCCTTGTCCTCTCTGCCTCTTACCTACGACTACTCAGCCTACCGCCAGGTGCTAAAGACCTTTGGCACTCACTACATGTCAGAGGGTTCACTCGGAGGCGAATACCAAGGCTTGTTGGAGTTGGACCTTCAGTCTCACTCATCCCACAGTAAGGACTTAATAATTGATTACAGTTACTGTTATTATGTTCAAAAATCCCCAAAACCCTCAAACAGTATGATCAGCAGTTAATGGGAATGTTTATATACCAAGATTTGCACCGTAGAATGTTATGAAGGTCAGCAAAATTTTAAGGAAAACACTTTCACCTATTCGATATGGTGCTACCGTCCTTTGTTGCTGGTTTGTTGCTAAAGTTGAGGGATTTTGCGGTGACCAACTTCACAATGAATTTGGACAATTTTGGCACTTTGCAACAATAAGAAGTATTGTATATGTTGATTCTGGCAGAGACATGAGGCGTTATGCATTGTGTGATATTTATGGGTTCTTTTTTTTGAAAGGTGTGACAGATATTGAATATCAGAGATGTTGGAAGAAAGTGAAGCGCTTCCTCTTCTTTAAAAAAACCAAAATCACATGCGAGAAACTAAAGAAACATCTGGAATCCAGTGCTAGTGAGTTGAAGTTATTGCAACCTTTAAACTAAAATTTCTGCCTCAGATTCACATAAATAACTGACAGAAGTTCTTAATTGATGTATAATCAGACATTATTGTTATTCTTTGCAGAAAGCCATTCGAACAAGATGCCCATTAAGGTCAATATTGTTGGAGGAGATCCCAGTTTCATTGGTGCTCTATCTGTTGTGGATCTACAGAATCCAGAAGCTAATGGAGAAATCTATAATAATTGGGCCTCATCTGTCAAAGACTTCCCTAACGTGATAAATCAGAAGGTAAGAAAGAGGATAATTATGCAATCTGTTTATATTTTGTTTGTTGGGGTTATTCTATTTCTATATTTCTGTCAGGATCAAAACTTTTTTTTTTTTATCCCATGAGGGGCTATGCATTGCATCAACATACAGAAAAACAGACAAGCCTGTATTTGTTACAACTTTTCACACAATTCAACCTAGAGAGACTAACACAGAGAAAAGCTGCAATTAGAAAAACCTTCAATTTATTTATACAGGTGACACAATAATCCTCTTCAAAAATATTTCTATCTAAGGAAAACCAGCTGATTGCATCGACTCATTGACTCTCTGAAAACCTTCGCACTGAGCATGTATGAAGTGACAGTGGAGAGGAAAACTCCCTTTTTACAGGAAGAAACCTCCAGCAGAACCAGGCACAGTGCGATTGGGTTTAAAGGTGACAGAAGCAGATAAAGACATAAATGAAATAAGTTTTTTGGCGCTTGCGCCCCGGCAGAAGACTTCAATTCTGTGAATCAACGTACACTTGATTCACAGAATTAAATTGGAAAGCAATTCAGTAACTAAGCTGTAGGAAAACGAAGAGGAGCTATCCATCTGGTAGCGAGAAGAAGAAGAAGAAAAAAGAAGAAGCAAAAAGAAAGAAAGACAGTGGTAAGTGGAGCAGATAATGATTTAAGCATAACATTAACATTAAATGACTGCTGTCATTGAAATGATGCTACTTTGTCTTCTAACGGGGAGACAGCAGCTATAGCGTTAAGTGAATGCTATGATAGCAGATAGTTTCTGCCTCTCCAAGAGAGATGCT